AGGTGAAGTGGTTTTACATATCAAGAATTTAAAGCAATTTGGGGCATTTTGAGATGGAAGCCACTACTGATGTGAAAAGATTATTATTATATTTACTGCAAAATCCATTATCCACCCCGTGAAAACATAAGCAGTACTTCAAGACATAGCAGGTATTGCAGGATGATGTGAAAACTTGGCCTTACTGTAGGAGAGAAAGTTTTCCCCATGATTTCAGGGAGGTGAAGGCTTCATCCTACACTATTTAGGAGCAATTGAGGCGTAATGGTTACATCCAGCTAATTGGATGCATTGCTATAGGCACTTGAGAAATATGATAGACAGATGAATACAGCTAGATAGATATCCCCTGGTGTAGCGAGCTGAAGTCAATTACGGAGTTAAACTGTGAAAGATGTGACCTGATGTCATTTATATCTCAAGTCATAATTAACGATTAAAGTTCAACTCTATGGCAATTTTCTTTTAATAACACTTAAAACCTATATAGAGCTCAAAGAATTGCATAGACATGATGAAGGATGACTTGAGTGGATGCCAGAATTTTAGTGTTAGTAATTAATCCTCAAAACACCTTTGCATGGCGTAGGGGTAGCATCATGTCTCTTGGTGTTTGCCCAAAGCCTCCCCGAAGTCTATGGCACCTCGAGATAAGGACTGAGGCTTTCTCAGCTGCTAAACCAGCAAACACTCAGCTCAGCCTGGCTCCCATCTTTTTGTCTTGATATCTTTTTAAATTTTACCACAATCTTTAGAAATATTATGGACAAATTGCTTGTCAAATGGCCTGTTTTTTCCAATTAGAAGCTATGCAAATGCAGAAGGAAAAAATCTGCCATAAACACAGCTTCTCCTTCTAAGATTTTCATGTGAGTGAAATATGAATCTTACTGAGGAAGGAAACGTGCTCCTGGACTGAGACCTTGTAAGTCAAGATTCGGCTCGCTGCAGATTTTTATGGTCAAGTTATAACTGCCTGTAAAGCAAGGGTTTAAAATGGAAGTGCTGACAAAACTTTTAAACTACAACAGTGGAAATGGTGCCGCAATAATTTATAATCTACAGGCAGCTTTGGATTTATTATCACAATGACAAATGCACTGTCATTGTTAATAGGATATTTCCCAGCAAGGACTTCTTGTTATGCAAGCCAGGTTCACTATGTCATGCAGCATGATAGCAATAAAGTCTACAAGAATTTGTAATGAACTTCAATTACTAATAGATTATGGTTAATGGGAAATATGTGCAGTAAAGATATGGGTTTTTATATGCGCCTTCTGGTACTCTACAAGGCAATGATTTATGCTACAATTTATGTTAACATTCTCCAGTACGAAAAAAAGCCTAAATTGGTGGAAAGCCACTCCATCCATAACAAATATTTAAGATAATTTTGCACATCATGTAAATGAAGATGTAAAATTAGATATTAATCCATTTCATTTTAGCATTTGTATTTTTATTAAAAATGAAGACTTTGCCCTACTGTGTAATGACATTAAAAAATCCTATCATGGGCTGCAAGCGTGAATTACACTGATGTAGAAATGGCGACAGCAACCGAGCTGTAAGTGCATTTGTTCAATTTGCTGTTGTAATTAACGGAGCAGTGAGAATATTTTTCGACGTATGATTTAAAGTAACAGCCCTGAAGCTTCTCAGGCAGATGTGTGTGATGCGGAGGGGATATAGACGTGAAGAAGAGGCTCCTTTGGAGGGGGTCAGCCTTTTCCTCCCCTGCTTTTGCTCTCCCCCAGCCTTCCTGCGTGGCATCGCTCCATAGCCATGCCTGATCTGCAGACGTCGAGCTATTCCCTTCCCTGCACAGCAAACCTCCCGCAGGAATTACTTTGGGAAATAATCACCTGACACAGCATCAGAGCCACGAGCTCACGCTCACTTATCAGAGGGACACAGGCCTGGGTTTTTGCCTGCTATTTCAAAGGAGAGTTGTTGTTGCTCCTCCTCCCTCCCTCCCTCCAGCTTCTTTCTCCGGTACCTGTAGTATAATCTGTATATTCCAGGTTTATGTGCCAGTGAAATGAAAAGAAAAAAGGACGTCTCCTGATTTAAAATCAAACGCTGTTCAGAACCATCTCTGATGAACATGTAGATGCAACGTTAAAGATTGCATTTACCCACAATCACATTTCTGAAAAATGTTTACACTTCATATTGGAAATATATTTAGCCAGAAAGGGGCATCCATGCATGAAGAGTTTGCAGGATCATTTCTGGTATATTTTAAATACAGGTAGCCTGATGTTCATCTTGTTGCAATCAACTAGTGTTATACTGGTTTAAGACCATTGCTCTGAGCAAACCTCTGTATAAGAAATGCACTTTCTAGGGGTGTGAGTGAGGAAGACCCATCCTGTTGGACCACACATCCACCTGGGGGTTTGCAAAGAACAAGGCTGGTCTGGAGATATGCTTTTGGACTAAAATTCTGCTGGTTGAGATAAGGCAGAATTTCTGAGACGAAAAGAATTAATTCAGTGTGGAAAGCACACAGGTAAGCTCAAAATTGCCATATAAATTCCAGTCAGTGGACAACCTGGACTTTTCAAACATGCTCTGTTATAGCAGTATCTCACTGTATGGTTAAGAGTGATTCTTGCATGAAAATGTGGCTCTTCAGGATATTAGGAAGTTGTTTGAGAGATTTACAAAAACTCCTTCAGTTTTTATGGTCAAATGAGCATAAAATTGTAGTTTCCCACAGTCATTTCCTACTAAATAATACTTACAAGGCTTACTTCTTGGAAATGCATGTGTTACAAATTTCAAATTAAAAATAATTTATGCCTTAAGAATGCTCTTCTGATTCAGTTTTCCCCTAGCCCCTTAATGGAAGCAGCTCCATATACAGAATGGAGTTCACTGTAATTTTTTTCCACCATTTTTAAAATGAATTTCTCCTCAGAAGTAAAAGCAATGGCAGAAGACTGCCCTGGCATGTCTGGTTTTAGATAAGGAGTTTTCTTCTCCAGCCTGAGGTGAAAGTGAATTGAATCTCCTTTTTTTTCTTGTGTGTGGTCACATCCTCCTTTCATCTCTCCAGACCACCTCTGCTGTTCCTCATCTTTCCTGCTCGCTCCCAAATTTTCAGAACAAAACCTCCTCCCAAAACTCTAAAAAGCTTTTTTTCTTGTATTTTTTACCTCTACTAAACCAGAAAACAACAGGACATGTATGTGCATCTTGGTGCTGAGTTTTGTTGTTGCATTTTCTTTCTTTATTTTTTTTGTCCTGGCATTTCTGTGGCTCCCAAAGATACGTCAGTCCTGACAGGGTTGATGTGGCAATATTCAGCAGTCACCTCCTTCACACACGCCATTTAGAAGAGGTCACTGACAGCAAAAAAGAGCTACAAAAATAATTGTAACTTTAATTTGTTTCCCATTAAAAATACATGCAGCAATCTGTCCTAATGAGAGATTTTCTTTCCTTCCTGCTTCAGCATGTCACCGTCACAGCTTACAGGTATACTGAGGTCTCTCATGCAGGAATCTGTACGTAGCACTGTGTAAAAGTGGTAATAGATTGTGTTCTGTTCAACAGCTGAGAAATATCATGGAAACATTCTAAAATATGCTGGAATTAGTACTTGATCGCTAGTAGTGTGTTTCAAATAATTCACACTAAAATGAATATAAACAGCTATTAATGCCCTATATATTCTCTTGCTGATCACTTAAAATCTTTAATAATCTATATTGCATCAAAAATGTGTATGTAAAAATAAAACATAATTTCTTACAGCTAAAGCATTATCTAAAATAAACCATTACAACACTGAATCAATTTATTTCAATGTCAGAAAACACACCTGTCTCAGTGCATAAACTGAATATTCAGACTATTAAATTCATTCAAGTGACAATATTGTATTCCACTAGGCATCATGCATTGTAGAAAGCATAGCACTTCTTAAAACCCTAAAATCATTTAGCAAAGCAAATGCATCAACTAGCGGAGTGGAAAGAGCCACACATGGAGAAGGGACTGAGGAGATAAAGCACCTTCTTGCTGAACATCCTATACTATATATTGATCAGATTTACCTCACATGACCCCATTGAAAATGAAACAAATCTCACTGAAACCTGATAGTTTGGCATCAGAGTTTATTTTTACATCTTCCACACATGGCCCTTGCTGCCAGGCTGGTGAAAGGTTGTGATGAGGAGGTCTGTGTGTTTTAACTAAAAATACCAGAAAGCCCTATGTGGCAGCAGTAGCTGACTCCTAACAAAGACTTTGCATCAGTGCTCGTTAGTGAAATCCACCTCTCCAGGATGGCTGTTACCACAGTTGTGCCTCCACCACCTTCAGTCACTTCGCTCTTGCAGTGCCAGTATGGACATGGTTCACAATCACTCTGCAGGTGCCACATCACATAAACAAAGTGAAAATACAGGGAGAAGGAAGCAGTGCCATGAAATGGATCTGTCTGTGGAGGCAGGAGCAGGCAACCATCGCATGTGCAGAAGGTGTGAAGCCACTTTTGCAGTAACTTGAAGTCACAGCACACTCAAGAAATCCTATTAAGCAGCCACCCAAATCATCAGTCGTTCTGAGCCTCCACTCCTGACAGCTGCACTGAGAAGCTGTAATTTGCTTATTTGGTCTGTAGAGAGTTCTTAAATGAAGATGATGAAACCATGTATAGTTCTTATTTCTTAGGAAATAGTCAGGTTTCTGCAGTGCCTGAGTGAACGGCCCGAGTTACATCTGATTATACAACAGTAATATGATAAAGCACAATTAACTGCTTAGTGAGTTACACATTCATAGATTAGTGCAGAATTGATCAGGTATTAAAGCTCACTTACAACAACAGATATTAATACTAATTTCTTAACAGGCTCCAAAAGTTATACACCAGTACTGAAGTAAACTAAACCATTTATTAACTGTTTAAAACATATTTCAGCTGTTGACAGTTTGTATCTGACTATTTGCTTTGGACCAAGAAGCAAGAAGACGTTAACTCATGGCTCAATCACTATTACACTCAGGTTGTTATTAAAAAGCACCTTCCCATCTCTTTTTTCACTGCATCCAGGCTTTCTTAACTCTTCCATTACCTGATGCTTTAATTCAGGAGGAGCAGTTTTAGAGAAGTCACAAGTTTCTGTCAGGAAATCCAGCAACAGCTCCCCATCCTTGTTGCCTTCAATAAAGCAGCTCGTTATGTCCATGTGGGATGGGAGCTCATGCACCTGGTACTTCAGCCCAGCTGAATCCAGTATCCTTTTGATGTTAGCAGAGGAAACATAAGAGCAGAGATCACCTACAGGTAGGGAAGACCCATACTTGTTCCACAGTGTTTCCCAGCCACTGGTTCCTGAGAGATAAACCACCAAGAGAAAAATGCTCAGGAATAAGGAAAAATACTACTTCAACAAATTTGTGGTCATAAGTTTTTTTATGTTTTCATTGTGACTGGGGTCTCCCCGCAGAGTTAGGACATCTGTCCTGGGGTGTGGTGGAGATGGATGCCTCCCTTCTTACGTGCCTCACAGCTGGGGGCTTCAGGAGGGGATGGACTTGCTACCTGCCCCAGAGCTCCAGCACCTCCAGCTAAGCCTCCAGCTGAGGCCAGAGCAGCTTGTTGTGCTCAGTCCTCCTCCCTTCCACTGCTTCATGCACATGGGCAATATCTCTCAGGGACATCCTTCTGTAGTCCATGTGCTGAACATGAGCTATTCAGAGCCATCATCTTGATTGAAATTGTTCCCTAGATTTCAGCTGTCTGGAAGATGAAATCCTCTCCTGTTTCTTCACCTCATTACTTTGTGGTCAATCTATACATGAGCCTCATTGAAACACTTACTGCCAGTAAATGATCTCTCTGCTACATGAAATATGTGGCGTGCAAAACCCTGTTCATGTTGTCCATGCAGCTGGGTGGGTGGTGGAGAAAAGGGTGAGATGGATAGAGCCCAGGATGAAGCTACACCATCCTCCTGGCCTTCAGACTGTGTGCTATTTGGATGTGCAAAGATGAAGGGTGAGGAAAGCATGGGCTCCTGTAGCACCACCATCACCCCCAGAACTAAGCCCATGCTCATGCACGCACCTCTTCTCAAGGGATGTTTTACAAAGAAAACCAGCTGGTTAAGCTGAAAACACCCCAGATACTTCTTCACATCTTTGTTTTCCCTCACCCTAGATGTGTGATTCGGCATTTCTGCTATAAATCATTTATAAAAGGATCACCCAGAATGACTGGACGGGATGAAAATAACTTGGAGCCTAATGAGCAGCTCTTGAGAGTTATGACAATAAATCTCCATAACTACCAAAACCAGTTGCTTGGCGGTTTTGCAAATGCTTTATCTGCAAACAATTATTTATAGTCAAAGAAACAGTTTGGTGTTTAGAAAAGGGGCTACAATATTTTCTTTCACCTGCTGGAAATTGAATGCAGAGCGCTAATTGCAGAAAATTTGCTGGTGTCAGTGCTGTGTGACTCAATGCCATCTCCGAGCCGAGCAATTATACACTACCTGAACGCAGCATTATTATAATAGCTCTCAATAGGCTCAGCATATGGCACTACTTTTGTTTTCAAGGCGATGTAAACAGATTTTTTAAATGTGTTAAAAATAATGCAGCATAGCTCTTGCCACTCGCCTGCTCTCCCGGCAGGGATGGAGCAGGAGGGATTGCAACCTTCACCGACTGACCAAGCCCTCTCCTATCAATGCTATTCCCAGACTGTTTTTTAATTAACACACCCTAATGTGTTTGTGTTGGAGAGGATATTACCTTCATTTTTTGAAACAAGATTTGTTCTGTTTATCTTTCAGTACCTCTTTTGCTTCAGTGCTCATTTCCATAACACTTCTTCCTTTCCCTCTCTATAATCTCCAAGGTTTTCCCCTTCCTTTCCTTTCCGCTATTCTGAGCCCTACTCCTCTCTCACATTTTCTTACTGTCCCCAGCAATTTCTACTCCATTCTGCTCCGTCAGAAAACACAGAGTTGCCTGGCCCCAGAGAAGACTTAAAATACTTTGCATGAATTCAGATTTTTAATCACATTACTTTTGAATAGACACATGTGCCTCCCCGTGTTCACATTTCATGAGTATCTAAAGGGACAGGTTAAGCAACTGGAAATGAGTTTCAATTAACTATACGCAGGTAATCAGCAGTAGTCTGATGTTATGATCTATTCTTGTTCAGATAAAAAACAAGAACAGTGATTCAGATCACTTAAAATACAGCTTTCTTGTAGTGAACTGCTTAAAAACACTTTAAACCAAAAAAATTTTGGAGAAAAATACGTTGAATAAATTCAGCTCAGAGAAGTGCCACTTTGTTGTGGACCCTTCACGGACACAAAAATGGAACTTCATCAAACACATTACAGTTTGCAAACATGGACAAATTCAGTAAAAAATTAAGCTTAAACCTCTGAACAAATAACATTTAACAACCCTGAGAAAACTATCAGATGTGATTGTTTACATCATTAAAATTTCCATAGCTTGTGAGGTAAATTAAAAGCTTTCTAGAGTCAAACTATAGCCCATCATTGCAGTATCTCTAGCATACCTCACCCACAGCACTTAGAAGTTGTCGTTTACTCTGCTCCCACATTTTCCTGCTGGGTTGACCACCGAGCATCTTTTGGAGATCTGAAACAGCCTAAGAATGCTATTTTCCACCCAAAATGATTATATTAAGGAAATGGGCAGTTTGAGAAGAAAATGAACCATATGTGCTCTAACACCTGCTGTATGGCACAGACGAGCCCCATTGTAGCTGTTTGTTTAATGCTGCAAGTCTCCAGGAGTGAGATAATGTCGTGCCCAGCCTGAAAAGCCTCTTACAGAAAATAGCAGAGGCTGGAGGAGCTCTTGTGAGTGAGAGCCATGGGATGGAGCCTTTTGCCCGCTGTGGGTCTTTCTGCTGCCGTCCGTCACTGGCCAGGCTGTAGGACAAGGAAGGGCAGAGGGCAAGAGAAAGGCGTTCTGTGCCCATGGCAGAGGTTTGCTGGCTTTTGCAGCATGAGCTGAGCAGATATAGATGGCATTCAGATTTCAATGGACATAGATGAGTGGACACCATTTATTATGCAGCCATTTCACCTCTATAGGATGTTTTCAATAAAAATTGGTTTCTTGCTGACCTGTGTTGAACTTGCAGGAACCCTGAGGCTCTTGCTCGACCAAGCAGTGCTGATAAAGCAGCTCTCACCTGATACCAGGATAATGAGGAGCTTTGCCTGTGCTTCCAGGAGGCTGTGAAAATACCGGATAGTCGCTGGGACATCTTTCACATAATACAGCATCTGGAAAGAGCAGAGATGCTGGTGAATGTTATAACTGGTACTACGAGGTAGAAGAAACCAAATGGGGGCAAACTTGAGAGAAGAGCAGCGGGATGACAAGATGCATTAGCACAATGTTGGTCAGTGGGCTCACCCTGCAAGCTCAGGGCTGTCACTGCTCTCTGGCTCTCCCAGGACCAAACTCATGTTCATTCATTAACCTGAGATAAAAAGATTTGCCTTTCTTAGCAGTGAACATGGCTTGTAATGGCCTCGGTAAACTTGGAAATACAAAGGTAATTTCGCAGAGAGGACAAGGAGCTTTGAAAACACTAGTTAAAATGTATTTTTAGTTGACTGCCACCCACAGCCTGGTTAATGTAGGACTACTGTGCTCAAAGTCGCTTTGCTGTAAGTCATCTTTCACTTTTGCAGTTCACTTATGCTTAAGTACTTTAAATTACAGGGAAATAAACTCACCTTTCTTCCCCTTAGAGTGGATAATGAGGTCACATACTTCATGCATACTTTCAACAGCCAAGCCTTTGACAACATTTACTTTGCAGAGACTTTTACCTGGATCATGTGAATGAAGTCCCATTTTTTAGACTTCTTTTCTGCATTCATTCGACTTTCATATTCATAAGCTGTCTCCTCATGCCAGGTAAACTTTACGTTCTCAAGGTTTGATGTCTTAGCCACGCGCTCTGAAATACAGGAGAAGGCAGGACAGAGTTATCTCAATTGCAAATACGAGACCAATTTCCATTCAGAGCTTTAATATATCCAAAAGTCATATTTAGGTAGAGAGTTTTGGTACCAGTTTAACACAACAGTAGAATATTTAAAACCTTGAGCACGTAAGTGAGAAGGGGGCTGTCCACGTCTTTGTAGGATGAAATCTTAAGAGGGTCTGATGCTTTACTCTTTGCACCCTCATTTGGGCTCCTCCAGTCTTTACCTGATTGAAAAAAATAACAAACCCAAAAAAACCACCTCTTGCCCATGACTGGCTATTGCAGTTGTTATCCTGCAACGTCCCGTCCGGTCGAGGAGGCACAGAGACAAACACTCACCCCGTCTCTGGGCCAATGAGCACTGACACCAATATGAGGATGCTGCAAATGGCGTTTAATGCTGTGCGACACAGTACTATATAGTGTGGGTTCACTACGTCACTTCCGCCTGCTTACATCACAGGCTAAATGCTATTGGCTACTAGGAGAGAGAGAGGGGGGTGTCTTACCTTTCCGTACAGCACGATATCTTCCGGTCGCCAGACCCTATCTTACTACACTGGCTCAAGTATTAAAAGATGTTGGCTGAAATAAACAGTTATGAGGCCATAAGCAGCACTTTTCATACTGAATGGGAGAAGAGGTGATGAGGTGATGGCCCCTTCACCTAGGTGCCACCCAAGACCCACAAGGCTGAGCAGAAGCCAGGCCATAATTAATGATTTTCCAGAGACTGAATAAATAGAGGGGCTTGAGGATGGATCAAGGGGACTGTGTTTTGGAGAGAAAGCACGAGTGAAATCTCAAGAAGGGCAGAGAAAGCAAATAGCTCACTCTGGGAATGTGTTGCAGGAATAGTGGGAGAGGGAAGGAGCTTCTCTCCATGAGCAAGGACCCATCTCTTTGACATTTGACTTCTGCTATGTTCCAATAAATGAGATTTTTCAAAAGCCCACAGTTTCAACCAACTGCTTCAGGTAAAATGGATACCAGTGTTTTAAAGCAAAGACTAGTATGAAGAGTGACACACGGTGTGTTTTCAGACCTTGATTATAACTGAGTACAGCAGAAAACTTGAGAAGTGGATTCAAGGAATCAGTTATACCGAGGGCCTGGCTCATCACTGCATTTCTGTGCTTTTATGGGAACAAAGCAGAGGGATAATTTCATATTTTAGGGGATGCTGGAATACTAATGTCCATCTGCTGGCATATGGAGCTCATCGCACTGCGCTCCTGCCTGGCACTCGGGATTGCTCCAGGACAAAGCTAGCCCTGATGCGATTCCCGTGCTTCACTGGAGTTAACATAAATTTAAAACTTAAATGGCCTGAAGGTAGACTGAGCCTTAGCTACAGAACACATGTTCAAAACAACATGATTTGTTAAGACCAGTGCTTTTATGCCACTAATCACAATGTTTCTCCTTTTGGGCTCTGGTTTGGGTATATCCTTGTAGATCAGATGAGAAATGCTCCGTCAGTGCTTATCTCCTCTCTTTTATGGCTGGAAATGGGCCACCCCTTTCAGATGCTGCTGCTGTTATTCTGTTTGGTTCCATTTATCAGTCACTGGCCCTGGTGCTTGCAGTTCAGATTTAATTTGCTGTTTTAAACACAGGCTTCATGCAGCAGTGGTTCATATCACCATCACAAATAATCTGGTGCAATCTGGTTCAATTCAATTGCTAAACAGTCTGCGAAGAGACACTAGGAAGAAAACTGAATTGCTTGCCAAGATGGGCTTTTAAAGTCAAAATTTCAGAAAGAGCAAACACATTCTGATTATGGGAAGTTTTTACCCAAAGATTCATTTGAAGCCAAAACGTATCACACTAACCATTTTAAAAACTTCTCCTGAACTGTCTTCTGGGTTCAGCACAGGTTGTTATCTGGATCAGAAGCCAGTCGTGTGCCTTTGATGGATGCCATCACAGCTGGACTGCCTGCAATTGTGCCACATCGTGCAGGCAAAGGCAGCACAGCTCAGTTGTGGTGCCACCAACACTCCAATTATGGTCACCAAGAGGTTTCACCTGGACACAGACCAGAAATGAAGGAAAGCCACAGCCTGGCCATGGGCCTTTGAGAACAACCTCTGTTGTCCCGCGCAGCCTAAGATAAACCTCAGTTTGTTGTCACTGTGAATCCCATTAAGAAGTTTTTCTTATGAGCATTGCTTTTCCTTCCCAAGGAGAAAATATCTGGTTAGGCAGAAAACATAACTACTGAATCCTCAGAGGCACAGATAATGTTTCCAATTCTCCCCAGAAAATCTTAGGACTCAGAAAACTAATTAATGATACCTACTGGGGACATGATTAATTACCAAATAAGAAAGTTTAAAGAAAGAAATTCAGATTAATATTTCATTTCTAGCTTATCATAATTCTTAAAATAAGGACAACAACTTATATTTTCTTTAACTTTCTTCTGCAAAGAAATTCACTGAAGTAGGATAGGACTGCCAGTTAACTGGTGGTAGGTGGTGAGACCACTAGGAAAACTCAGTGGAAATCTATTCTCCCACAGCCTATAGTCCATGGCCCCGACAGAACAGGAATGCTTTGTGCAAGTGGCCAAATTGTCTTCTACACAGAGCAGATGCTGTGTTGCCCATTCTTCACCATCTCAGCCTAGAGCAATGTCAAACCTCCTGGGATTTCGCATGTGTCGTCTTTTGAAAGATCAGCTCCATGTAATACAGAAACAGATATTAAAAAATGATGTGTTTCCTGGGTGCCTTTGGTGCTTCCAGTGACTCTGAACTCCCTCACTGCAGGGAGAAAGAGATTGTTACTAATTTTATTTTTTTTAATTCCTTTTACTTCCACAAGTTACTCCATACTGACAATGCTTCATTTTTAAGGACTTAAGCAAGAGTAAGATCTGGAGATTTACAGCGTGGCTTTACAGTCTGGTATTTACTATGATTTGGAGCATTTCCAACACTGCAAACTGCTGACGAGTTTCATTCATGACTGCCACGTCCATTCAGCAGCCGCTCTCTGGCAAGGTGTGCTCTGCTCGGGGCTGCTCACAGCCTGTACTGTGTACCTGGTGTCACCTCCATACAAGACCATAATTACCTGCTAAGGTAAAGCCTGGTAGGTGTTAATCCAGTAATAATCAAACTGTGGATTGATATTTAGTGCTCACTTTGTAAGGCAATTTGACCAAAGCACCCCTGCTAACATTCCATCATCCTTGTATAATGCTTTTGGCTTTCCTTCATGGATGTTGCTCAGACCTTTGGGTTGGTGGAAGGAAACAAGCTGTAAGTCACAGAGCACACAGCAAAAATCTTTCCAGTCCATCTTGCTTTCCTGTCCATGTTTTCTAATTCAAAGGATGATAACTAAGTGCATCACTGTGAGGTTTAGCTATTGGTTTGGAAACGATTTTTAAGATATCTGAAAATTACCATGAGACACTAAAATTTTCCCTTTGATATTTAGGAATGATCCTGATCCAGATGAAGGAGAAAAACTTTCTGAAATGTGGGACTTTTACTCTATACCCATGCAATTACCCACCATTTCCCACCTTGCTTAGCTTTTAAGATCTGTGTAGTCCAAGCATTCGCCAGACAGAGTTCGTTGCAGTGTGACAGACTAGGATTTTAATGAAAGACTGAACATTGTTGAAGAGCAATGATGGCAAAAAGCATAAAATAGTGACTTTTTTAACTTTTAAGAGCAAATTCTGACAAGAAAGCATTTGAAAGTGGAGTCATCCAGCATTCAACTCTTTTTAATGCATTTAGAGTACTTAACATAAATTTAATTTATTTAATGTAAAAATACCTTTGTACTTGGAGATTTGGTCAGCACTTGGCTCTACCACATCATTGTTGATGGTGACCCCCGGGTATCTGGCTTGTATTTTTGAGAGGATCAGCAGGTCAATCTCACCTAGGGAAGCAGGCAACATGAAATACAGAATGAAAGCAAAGCTCAGGCAAATGTTATCTCCGCCATCATCACATCCTCAGTTTTGAAGACTGATGCCTGCCATTCATGTACAGAAAATGTACCATGTTGGGTACATGTAGCTGCCCTGTATTCTAAGCCGATTGCCCCTGAGGGTTTAGCTCTGCAATTTAAGAAAAATTTAAATATCAGTCCCAATTATCTTCATTCCTCCTGTTTGACTACCACCATCAGTGGCAAGGGGAAAACCAGACACAGTCACGCATGTGGCATGACCTCATATTTTCTGGACATAGCTTAACCTCCCAAAGAAGATTTTAACTGACTCTGGTGGTACCAGTTCTGATGGTCCCAAGTCACCAGCAAACTTGGTAGGATTTCTTAGGAGTCAGTTAGAACATTTTTAGCCAAGCATCTCACTGGTTACTGGGTCAAGTGGATGAGGGAGAAGAGAATATATGTTTACACTGGAATCAGAAACAACATCCATGTCTGCATGTCTTTAGTGTCCTGTGACTTTTTCCGTAAGTACAATAAAGTGCACATGCCATTTATGTTTCTCCAGCACCTGTTTACAGAATACCTCCGAGCTGACTGTATTTTGTGAGGAATAGTTCTCTCTGGATACTCTTCAGGATAGCTGCAATCATTTTACCAATGGAAGCACAAATAGATCCAGCATTTCAAAATTTAAAAAGAGCTGCCATCGCCCTTGGCCACCTGCCTTCATCCGCAATATAGGAAGCTCAGGGAGATGATGCTCCTGACTGAGGCATGGGTCCAGGGACAATATCATGCTGGCTTGCTTAGCTTTCTTAGGGCTCACTTCTGCTTATTGTGCTTGAACAAATTTTAGGTGGAAAAAAATAATAGAAGAATAAATTAAGGTAGAAAGAGTGAAGCAGAGGATAACTGTGGTGGATAAGAGACCCAGGGGTCATGTTACAAACAAATACTGAGCTTTGTCCTGAAAGATATACTTGTGTTTGCACACAGCTCCAATGTTATAAAATCCCCTACAAATGACAAAAATTGTGCATTGAGTAGAAGATCACGTGTCGAACCCCGACAGCCAGACAGGCCCTTGCCAAGGGACTGTGGAGGGAGTGCTCTCACCAAATTAGCACTTCCTCTGCCCATCCCCACGATTTTCAGTGCCCTTGGGTTCCCAACACTTCAGCCTTAGCTCCATTATACAGATTTGAGATACAAAAGGAAAATATTTGGTGTTAAATAGCTGTAATGCGTACACCAGAGCTCAACCCAGCACACCGGGTCCTCCCCTGGGATGGTCCTTTCATTATGAAGAGCTCTTTGCCTGCTTCTGGCCCCACCACACGTCACCACAGGTCAAAATCCGACACCCCAGCCCAGCTCTCACCTGCTCATTAACACTCTGAGAATGTAACATAAAAAGTGAGGAAGAGTTGGATTTTTTTGGACTTACATGTTTTTCTTACAGCAACTAATATCTCCAAAATTTACATGGCATCTGTGCATGCACGTTCTTTAAGGGAGGGAAATTGAATTTCTGAAGGAGCGGAAATAGCTGCAGCTTTGCTATCACTGCAAACCCTGTATTCTGTTTAAAAATCAGAGCAAAGCCAGTTGTCTGCAGGCTGCTGCGGTAAAATTTAGGAACATAGAATTTGTAATGAACTGATGCAATATTTTTGATTTTTGGTTGCTTTACTAACTTTCTTTAAAATGGATTAGCCCTTTGAAAAGGCTGTGCAGGTCCCGATACAAAAAATGTGAATTTCACATTTCCCTGTGCAGTTAGGTTCGTATATTCCCTACCACCCTTGTATTGTTTTTAACCAAAAAAACCCACCCCTTTGATTCATAATTTAATCCACAGCCTTAATTGACTTCGGTTAGCTCTTTTATATGCAAACAAGTGTCCTGAGGCATTTTACAGTCAAATCTGTGGCAGCTTGCTTTATCAACAATTTGGCAATTAGGCTATCCAAATTATTTAAACTCTTCAACATAATTACCTTTTAAAGGCTACCACTATGTTCACCATTAAGTTTCTAATTAAACATTTTACGTAACGGGATAGTTTATAGCACAGTTGCTACTTTATAGCAGCGTTGATGACTTTTATGGTTTTTAAAGGTACAGAGTGCTGCGCGCTGGAGTGTGAACTTAATAAGGCAGAGGCTGGAGGCGAAGGCAGGCGCTGTAGATGGGCGGGTGTAATGGGATATGACGCTGCATTAAATGGTTTGCTTGTCTCTTGAGGTGGAAAAGTGGAAAGGAAACGCTTTCCTTCCGTGCTGCCTCCCTGCGAAGCACAGGGGAGGATGGGGCCAGGGCAGCTGCTCCATCAACACCCTCCAACTTCAGCCAGGGTTAGCTGGGAGGATTTGAGAATTTGCTGCCTCCTGACCTCCCAAGGACCCATGGTGGGAACAAGGCAGTGATGTAGGGTTTTTTATATCACAAAATGAGTTTTGCCTGCACATTATTGACTGAAGAGGAGGGAAGAGGAGGGGCAGGTGCTGATCTCCTCTCTCTGGCCACCAACGAATGCCAGGAGCAGAGGAAATGGCAGGAAGATGTGGCAGGGGAGGGTGAAGTTCACCATGAGGAAAAGGTTCTTGAGGCAGAGGGTGGTGGAGCACTGGAACAGGCTCCCCAAGGAGGTGCTCATGGCATCAAGCCTGACAAGATTCCAGAAGCATTTGGCCAAGGCCCTCAGGCACATGGTCTGAACGTTGGGATTGTCCTGTGCAGGGACAGGAATTGGACTCATGATCCTTGTGGATCCCTCCCAGCTCACAACAGTCTATGATTCTGTGATTCTATGAGTATCCATCACGCTACACTGGAGTGAGCCTGGTTAGGGAGTTAAGTACCTCACTAGGGAAAGCATTCCCGTTAATCTATATTTTTTTTCCTTTTTTTTCAGAAGAATGGTTTCCCATGTTTTGAAAGCAAAGTCTTTTCCAAACAAAATGATTCTATGATTCTCTGTCACACTGTCTGTTTTATAACTAACGCCCACTATTTACATACAATTATTTTTACTAATTAGGAGAGATTGACAAAGCTGAGGTTAGTCTTTGGAGATGGTATGACTAAAGCATTTAAACTAAATTTACTTTTCTTATAAAATTAAACTTTGGTGGCTTAATGGGCAGACTAGAATTACAAAACATAGGCTTTAATTATGGGGGAACTTAAGCAAGAATTTAATGAGTAGAAGCCACTTGATGTTATTGGTATTGTTTTTCCACCCAGTGAACTTCAGATAAGAAACTTATTTCTTCTGATTTCTCATGGATTTCTTCTGGAGCTTATGTTCAGCTCCAGTGGTTTTGGGTGACAGTAGCTCCAGGAGGGGCTTGCACATTGACAGTGGTCAGCAAGTAGGTACAGGTAAAAGGCTGACACATACCAGGGCAGGAGACAGCAACAATGTGGAGTTACCACATCAATAAATAGTTACAGGGGGTAGTAAATGCAGTACAAGTAAAAATTTAATATTCTAAGATCTAAGACGGTGTTTTTTTGGCATGGAAACACTATGGGGCAGTTCAAGTCTCTCCCTACCCTCAAGGAGCAATGTTGCAGGAGATTTTTTGTGGAGGACATATGAGAATCGGGGTGGGGAGGCACAAGCTGTTTTCAGACAATATGGCCACACACCAGCTAACACCATCTGTCCCCTGGAGCTGACTTTTCAAGAAAAGACTTATTTCCCACTCCACTCCTTTCTGCAATTTGGAATCCTATATTCTTTGAAAAAAAAAGGGGAAATGCATACCAATATTGAAGTTCATAGCATACCTGCTCCACCACCAACGCTTAGAACATTGATTGTAGACTTCCCGTTTCCAATACTGAAAAACATTATTTATACATTTTAGGAGAGCTACCAGTAGAGAGGGTTACATGCATTCTGTGGAGCAGTGAAATTCCCATGAAGACTAAAATCTGCGGGATGAAGTCAAATGCAACATGAGCGTGTACAGGCATGCATGCAAGCAGGCAGGCAGGACCAGATTCAGAACTCTGCTTTTCGGAGATTCCTGATTTCCAGTCATTTTGTCAATTTGTAGGGGAGTTCTACAAATGAGTAGAGAGTTCATAGCAGCAGCAGCACATACACACCTTCCCCATATCTGTGCTTTGAGGACCAGAGATCTCCCTGGGGTCTGGACCAGCAACATAAAAATTATTTATAGAAGTTTCGCATTTTGCAAAAAAATGCAGAGGAAGAGGGGAGAGTGTAATGCATTTTAAATCCCTTAGTGAGGCTCTGGCAGAGCCATAAACCTCTGGGCCCAGAGAAGGGCTTCCCCAGAACCAGGATTTGACCCCAGCTGCTTGCTGCTCAAGTCAGCCCGCAAAGCAAGGGGTCCAGCAAAAAACACACATGGCAGGCAAAGCAGGAGCGTTATTTGCACATACTGGAGAGAGACTAAATATTAACTGAAAAGATTACTTTTTAAAAGATGCTTTCAATCAATTTTAACGTTAGAATGTAGCATCTGTTACTGCATTTCTGAGTTTATTCAGGGTAAAGCTGTATTTGCATGCAAGGAAACAATTCAGCCTTATCTCCTCCCTGCTAGGCAGGCTCTGTCCCGAAGAGCAGCCATTCAGCGGCGTGTGAAAATGAAATCTCCAGCCAAGCCCTATCACGGACCTACAGACGGGGCGGCCGGCGGTGAACAGCAATCTGCCTCTCGCAGACAGCCCCCTGAGCCCAGCTGAGCCCATCACCGCCACGGGACCGTGCCACCAGGCTGTCCTTCAGCTCGATGTGGTCACCTCCACGTTACCTCCCTATCAAAGCCGGCAACTGCCTCTCCATGAACTCCTGCATGCTCTGGTGCTCAGTCGAATTTGCGAGGAAAAGGCGGAAAGACTGGAGGTATCTGGTGGGGTCAGTAAGCAAGCTCCTCATAGGTGATGCCATGGCGGAGGTCGGAAGGTTGCAGGAGGAGACAGGTGGCTCCTTGCAGCTCTTCTTGCTAGCGAAGGAATAACAAATGCTGGAGAGGTAAAACCAACACGCACTTGGACTTTGCTCTTTGGCCCTGCTACTTCACCTTAGAGCACTTTAAAAAGTATGATGCAATTTTGCAATAGGAGCTGTAAATCAGATTGGAGCAGCAAAGGGTAATATATCATCTTTAATCTGTGCAGAGGAAATGCCAGCATTTTTTCACTGTGCTGACACAGGGCTCTGTAAAAACCCAGTAAAAGGATCTTTAGAGAGTTCTTAAATAAAAGAAAAATTCCCCTATTTCTTGAAGGCATGAAGAGGCTCCAAAGACTTGGTCTGGATTAGAAGGAAGTGCAACGCACATCTCCAGAGATGCTGGCAGATGTCTCTATCTGTTTCTTTAATCTTTTGATGTTCTCAAAGAGAATGCTGATGGTGGGGTGAAAACAATAAAAACCTTATAAATGCACTCTTTATTTTTCTAGTTCCTCTGAAGATAATGGTATGATTCCCATGGGCTAAGTAGTTAATTCTCAAAAGCCATGTGAGTTACTGGAATGGATGTTGTGCTAAACCCAGCTTACACAGCCTCGGGAGTAGGGGAGGCAGAGCATGCTACCTGGAAATGTCGGGCTGTACCTTGAAAAGTGCACAAAGACGTGCTCACCCCCTCTTAAACTTCAATTTAATCTATTATGTACTGTCCTAATTGGAAAGGAGAAAGAGGTCCTCTTCTTTCTGTCAGGTCCCAGGCTTAAGGACCACACTGTATCTTTTACCATCAGATCTGGCTCTTCTGCAGAGTTCATGTCCCAGCCACCTCTTGTTATTTTTATTGCTCCTTTTGAACTGTCTCCAGCCAAGCCCTGTTGCTGCTGAAGTGCAGCAGTCAAGAGCAAAAACCTCTCACAGCAGCCAGGACAATTTCCCTCACCCTACTGAGACCCCATGCCACTTGCCTTAGCTCACCAGCATGAGCACTGAAATACAATCCTTGGGCTTTTTCCAGACTACTTTTCTTGTCTCTTTGAATGGTAATTCTGTCCTCTGTTGTCCCTCCCAGCTGCATATCAAATAACAACAGTTTCATCCCTTCCCCAGATCATGAACGGAGACACAAATGAGTAGCAGGCTCAAGTTCATACTCAGTGTCCTGGTTTTTTAGCTGGGACGGAGATAGATTTCTTTTTAGTAGCTAGAATAGCGCTGTGTTTCGGTTTCAGCTGGGATTTCTTATGAGAAAAACATTGATAACATAACAATGTTTTAATTTTTGTCACTGGAAGTTGAAGGACTTTGTGTTTTGTTGGTCACAAGTGCAAGACCTGGGGGGGGTGAGGAATATTTATATTAATAAGCTAAACTGGCATTTGGATATGCCAATAAGATATTCCATCTCATATCCCGTCATGTCCAGTATATTAGTGAGGGTCTCTCCCTCTCTTGTTCTCTCTGGCTTTCGCTCGAGCTCTGGCTCTCCCGGGATTGCGGTTTCGGTTCGGGATCGTTATCTGGGAACTGGCCAGGCTTGGTTGGCAGGTGGTGAGGAATTGTATTCTGTATCCCTCATTTGCATATTTTATTACCATTGTTATTATTGTTATTATTTTAAGTTTTATTTTATTTAAATTATAATATTGTTTTTATCTCAACCTACAAGTGTCCTTACCCTTGCCTCCTAATTCTCCCCCCTACCCCCTGGGAGTCGGGGAGTGAACAAGTGGCTGTGCATGGCTGCTAGCCCAGTACTAGCCAAGTGCTAGCCCAGTGAAAACACCACACTCGTCATTACCTCCCTTTCTGGCAGTGAACTTCTGATAACTTTCCTGACTAACCCTGCAACCGGTTTTCCATCCACCCAATAGATGTCTCATTGAGGCCACATCTTTCTCCCTTGCTAAGAGAATGTCATACACGATGCCAACCCTCAAGTCCCTGTATAGGGACACCTCCTTCTCCCCTGTATGGTGGGACAGTTACACCACTGGTAGAAAGATGAACGTGGCAAAGTTTCTTCCTAACATGCCCATCTTACCTGCCCATCCCCTAATAAGGGAACTCTTTCTAGTGCTCAATCCTTTTTGAAGGACGATTTCTAGGGACAGTTGTTGTGCTGAGCAGCTGCAGTTCCCCAGCTCCTCCTCCTCCTCTTGCCCCCTTTTCAACAGTAACTTGAGCTGCTTGGCTTTGTTTGCTGCCTGTGCCAAATATAGCGTACAACTCATGGCATGTTTTGGATCTGCATCCCATGAACCACATCGCTACATGTCCCAGAGGTTCCTCCACAGGGGGATATGTAGGGAAGGCTGGTGGTGATGTGCCTCTTCCAGTACACACTACTACCACAACTATTAGGCCGATTAGCAACATCTATTAATTGCTATCCTTGAGGCAGTCCCTAAGACCCGCAGCAACCTCCAGAGCAGGACCTAAGGTGTGATTTTCCACCCATACCACAGCTGAGGCAGACCCGGCTTTCGGCACATTCCCTGTGCCTCACCCTCTCAGACAGCAAGGATGCTTTCGAGGGGAAAAATCAGCAAAACTGAGTATGTTCACCAACAACAATGATGAAAAAGGGCTGGTAACAAGTTGATGGGAGAGCTTTCAAAGCTTTGCTGGGTCCTGGATGCCCATGAGGGCTGGTTTAGAGTGGCATGGGAAGGCGATGTCTCCCACAGAGCTCACCCCTTTGCCACTTCAGAGAGCCGGGTGGTGTTAGATAAGAGAGGCAATATGGACCACACATTAGACAGACAGACCAACAAATTGTAGCTGAATTGACTATTAGGTGGAGAACCATGGCTCAGGCTCGCAGGGCAGTATCTGCTGCTCACATGCACAGAGGCAGCACACTGCTCGTGCTACCCAGCCCGCTCAGCCACCATGTGTGATCCTCCAACCAACATCTCCTCCTTTTCCCAGATGACCAGCACTCAAATCCGCAGCAAAATCTGAATTAACCTGGGGAAACCAAGTATAAATTTTACCAGAGTTTGTAAGGAACCAAACACCTGGACATGCATCGGATCAGAATAAAGTGGTATATTCCTTGTTTACCCATTCCTCTGCTCTGTCCAACTCCTCACTTTTTACTGTAAGTGCCTAAAGAGGCTTTGCCATTTGCCAGTAACATATTTTACTACCTTCAATCTTGAAAAAACATTTTGTGGTTAATAAGAGGAGATTTAGATAATCGACCTTTTTTTATATGCTTCCCTCTACTTCCCATGATTTAATTTGCTGACATCCCCTGCTTGATGGTTTCTAATGAGCAGCTGAGATTCATTTTCATGTTAGGTGCATCTCAAGGAATTTGTCTCATTTCTTTCATTACACTTTTGGCTGTTTGAATTTGCTCCATTTATTTCATCATGTGCTTTGCTGTTTGAATTGCAGCCAGCTAACTTTAAAAAAATGAGTAAAAAAAAAAAAAGGAAGAGAAGGTTTTTTCTGAATCAGGCTGATAGAAACTTTTGGATAACACTGCTCACTTGGGCACGTTCACTTCAGTGATAATCCAGATGTGTACGTAGCTCCCTACAAAGATTGAGGAATTTCGAAAGCAGACTCTGTGTTTATGCTGCAGTTGTTTGATCTGCCCCTGGTTTGCGGCGGTGCTAGCAGAATTAAACCTGCTTTAAACTCACCAGAAAACTCTTTAAACCTTCCTTGCAAAGCCAGAAAACAAAGCGAGTGTGCCCTCAGCTGTAAACTATTTGCAGAAGGAGCTTGGGCTTCTTAGCACAGGATTACGGCTTGTTTCTGCGCACCAGCAGAACAGGGATCCCTCTTGGAGGAGGTTAATGCTCTCTGATAAGCTCTGCTTGCCTCGCCGGCGGCTGTACTTACGCGTGTGTAAGTGATCTGTGACCCTCGGGGCCGCGGGCTCCCACGATTCGATGCCGCTGTGCTGCCTGGGACACGCTCCCGTCCAGCCACCTTCACAGCCACTGCTGCTGTCCCACCCTGGGGACTGTGACGTGGCAGCACGGAGGAGGTTTTGCTGCCTGAGGAAGGAGCAGATGATATCATAACCTTGTGCAACTGCCTGCAGAGGCAGAGGTGGTTGTTTAAACCCTGCCCAGCCAGCACCCTCCATGGGGTCCACACTGGCTTTCACCCAAGACACGCCTGGCACCGCCACCGACACACCAGGAGCATTTAGACACAGAGCTCTATCAATGTGTTAATTAGAGTCTGGGTGAAAAATAAAGCCCTGCCACTGCTGTATAAGAAATACAAGTCTTGACAAATTGGAAATAGTTGTTTCCGTGCGTGACACGTGGTACTGTGCAGTGGCATTCACAGTTTGCCTATAGAAGCCAACCCTTATAGTCTACTTTGCTTTTTAGTTTGGTTTTTTGCCAGCAGCTGAGACTTTCCTTACCCCTTTACCTTCCAGGACTTAAGCAATCGGAAGCACTTTCCAAGTTTCGTGCAGCCTCCACACAGTTAGGAGCAGTTTTATCCCAGGGAACACAAGCATGGAAAAAAAGCACTGACTCATGTCTGCTATCACGCTGTAGTTTGAGGTTCAGAGCCTTAATGAAATATTTGCCCTGTGTGTGCCTCAAATTATTCATTATTCCTTCATGTTTAGTGAAAAATAATTTTTTTTGAAGTTAAATGAAGTTTTTCTTAACTTAGATGGAGAAATGAACAGTTCACATTGCAGAAGTTATATAAAATAATAGAGTAATATTAATAATCATGCATTCAAAGGCACAAGTACAGGGAAGGTGGCTGTAGTTTAGCAAAATAAAGTTTTCATATCAACAGTTAAAACTGTGCAACTAGAAGGATGACTGTGTGGGAAGGCAACATCCGCTGCATTTTTTTCTCTCTCTGTACACAGCACCATTTCCAAACCACTTTCACGGAAGGAGGTACAAGCTCCTCCACCAAGGAGCAAGTCGAGAGCTGCGGAGCTGCAGTGTTTCTGTACTTTCTGCTGGTCCCTTGGCACAGAGGGATGCCAAAGCAAC